TATATATATATATATATATATGTCTAGTCCTTTTTAATTAATTATTGTTTTCTTATTTTCAGGTGAGCTAGAACCAGAACTAAGTATCATGTTGGCAGATATCTCCATTCATACCACATAATTACAGAGAAAGTAGTTTATCCACTACTATTTTTGTGTTTTTGTTTATACACCGTGTAATTTTATTACTATTACTTAAACTTGCATGTAAGTGAATGAAAGGAATGTTATTTAGAACATTTTTCTTGTTAATTTTTAGGATTAAACTTGTTATTATAATAATATTTAATTTTGATTTCACATTTTTCCTTCTGATTTATTATTAAATATATTTTATAATAATCAAATCATTTAAATTAAAAGAAAATTAAATCATTTTCATTATTGACGGTTTTAGAAACCCCAACTACGTAAACTCAGTGGTTTCCTGCGGTTTTGGAGAACCCTCGCAAATACCGGTGGTTTTGGAGAACTCCAGAAAATATCGGCGATTTTTATAAGAAACCCCATAAATAGCAGCGGTTTTTGTAAACCCCCGCAAATAGTGGCGGTTATAAAGAAAACCGCTGAAAAATATTTGCCAGCGGAGCTTTTTCCAACGGTTTTTTGAACCGCGGGAAATGCATTTACCGGGGGTTAAAACTGCCGGTAATGCGAAAAAAAACCTCCGGTAAAATTTCAAATTTTTGTAGTGATATAGAAACTCTTAAGTACCTTCATTATGTAAGTCTTTTAATGTAAAAAGACATCTTTATTTAAATACCCAATTTGTAATTCCTAACAAAAATTCATATTTTTAAGATCTTTCCTCTCAAATTCTTTTTTTAAGCAATGAATTGCCTTTATGAGGTCATTATGAATTCTAATGATGTTTATATCATCTACATAAACAACAATTATGACAAATTGATTTTCTAATATTTTCATATAAATATCCTTCTTTTAAGAAGTACTCACTAAGATGGTTATACCACATCGTAAAAGGGAGTTTCATATAATTGCTTTAATCCATAAAGAGATTTTCATATAAATATCAATATTAAGAGAATCATACAAATAAGCAGTAACATCATCCATTAATTGTAAATGCAAAACTTTTTATCCAACTAGGCTAATTAAAATTTTCTTACATCCAATATTAATGAATATGTCTCTTAAAAAAAATCAATACCAAGTCTTTGTGAAAACCTTGAGAAACTAATCATGCTTTGTATCTAACAATTTCATCATTCTCATTTTTTTTTGAAAAAAAAAACTCATTTTATACCCAATGGGTTTTACATCCTTAGTGTGTGAACTATAAGTCCAAAAACCTTTCATTTAGCAAGCAAATATATTTCTTCTTCTATTTCATATTTCCATTTTGGTCAGTCATTTCTTTGTCAACAATATTCAATGATCATTAGTTCTTGATCCTTATTGTCACTCATAACATTCATCGCTACATTATATGAAAAAGTTTCGTTAATGTTGAATTCATTTTGGTTCCATATTATCTTATTCATTACATAATTTATTGAAATCTCATTATTTTCAACAATTTTAGGTACACGAGGTTTTTTTGGAAATGAATCATTAATTATATCAAATAAATCTTGAGATTTCCACCTTTTTTTATTAGGTCCTCTTGCCTTTTAGCTCTTTTTCTTATTCCAGGGTTTATTATCTTTAGAACCAATAGGACTATGACGCTTCAAGCGTGTCTTTTGATCCAACAGGCCTACCATATTACAAGTATGTTATGAATTGATATCAATTCTATTTTGAGCATTAGTAGTTGATATATGTGATTTAGTTACCTTTTTTGTGTTAGTAAAAACATCAGGTAATTGATTGACTAATTTTGTAAATGAATTATCCTTTAAAATTTTAGTTCAATTATTTTGTACAAGGATCAAGGATGAGATAATGATAATTCATTTCAACCAATATCTTTTTCCAATTGTTTTCTTTTTTCTCCTAATGTTGGAAAAAATTATTCATTAAAATGATAATCAACAAACTGAACTGTAAATAAGTCTCGTATTGTTCAAGATATTTTATTATTGATGGAGAACCATATCAAACATATATTCTCATCTCTGAAGAACCATCAGAGTCTCTTTTAGTAGAAAAATTGGAACATATACAACACATTCAAAAATTCTTAAATGAGAAATATTAGGTTATTGATAAAAACTAACTGCAAAATAGAGTATTTACGATAACTTGTTGGCTTGATGCGAATCAATATTGTAGCATGCAAAATTGCATTTTCCCACGTAGCCATTGGAAGATCAACTCTCATAAGTAATGGTCTTGCAACCTATTTTAGATATTTTATTAATGATTTAAAGGTTCATTTTTAGTATGAATATCTGCTACTAGATGTTCAACATCAATTCAAATTGACATACAATATTTATGAAAAAATGAGATGTAAATTCTCTAGCATTATCAAGACGAATTTTCTTAATCGGATAATATAGAAAGTGAGCTCAAAACTTGATTAATTGTGTTAATAACTTTGCAAATGCTTGACTGCGAGTTAATAATAAAATGTGACCATGAAGTTGATGCATCAATTAAAATCATTATATTTAAATGACATGATGGGTGTTTTTTACCACAAATATCACCATGTGTTCATTCTAAAAATGATAATGACTCATTTCTTATTTTTTTTCTGGTGATGGTCTTATTATCAACTTTCCTTGTGAACATACAGTACATGAGAAATCAAGAAGTTTTTTACTTTTAAATGGGTGTCCATATGAGTTTACAAATATTTTTTGCATCATGATAGATCATAGATAACCTAGTTGATCATGCTAAACAAGAATTTCATTTTGATTTGTAAGCTTATAACTTATAGTGACATGTGTTTCAATTTTACTCATATATATGTAGTACAAACCATATGAGAAGGTTGATAATTCTCCAATACACATTTTTTATTCAACTCAACTCTAGTGATATAAAGATATTTCATATCTTTTTCATTGTTTGTCTCAATATGATATTCTTTAGATGAATATCCTTAAAACTTAATAAGTTCCTATTATACTTTTTAGTAAAAATATAGTAGCTCTTCCAGAGCCTTTAAATATATTTGTAGTATCAGAAATAATACTAATATTGACTTTTTGCATAACTAAACAATAGAAAAAATAGATATTACTCTTGAGAATTTTAAGTTGTTTCACTGTCAACAATACACAATATATATATATATATATATATATATATATATTAGTTAATACAAAACTAGTGCTTTTAATTAACTTAATAATCTTAACTCAGGTACCATCGAAAATTAATCAACTCTGCAAATCATATAATATAAAATACAATTAAGTATAACAAATTAAAACCAAAAATCTATATTAAAATTCTTATTTCACATTCTTACACATAATATATATATTAACTAAAATATATCAATTTGTAGTATAAGTATAATCTATAATATTGTTATTTGAATATCTCCATTCACACTTCTATAACAATCACTATATAAGATCTACATGATAATATATGTTCATCATACATTTAATTCACATACACATTCTATGCAAAAGAAAAAAATTATTCTTATACTTACACAATACATTAAATTTTCATATTTTAAACCAATATATATATATATACTAAAAATACTATAGAAAATTCACCTTAAATTAAATTATAATAAAAATAAATTAAAAACGTCATCACTAGAGAATTAGTTGTGAAATAAGTTCGTAATATTTGTGAAATCTCTTTTATTGATATTGTTGTTGCAAGAAATAATTAGTTTCTCATATGATTTATTTATTTCTTTAATAGTATCACCAAGAATCATTACATCTAAATGTATTTCAGTATCGAATACACAAGATAAGTAATTCTTCCTCGTAATATAAATGACAACAAATTCAAATTTTGCAAGGTTGGACACGAAACTATAAAATAAATATAACAATATTAAATCTTAGGAAAATAATCAAATATAATTAATAATTATAATAATCTTCATCATCATAATAAAAATAATAATAAGACAAAAATGAAAATTGACAAAAGTCAAACAATTTTTATTACAAAATAAAAATATAAGATAAATGAGAAAAATGATTAAGACATGCAAAGTGTTCTCCTTAAAGAGAAAAACTCCCACTAGCTCAACTACATAGAGCATTGTATTGATAACGTGTTATAAAATAAACCTAATAATATAGAGAAACAGAAAGAGCAAGAAAAACCTGAGAAAGAATGTAGACTAAATTTTGTGTGTATTATTACTAATAGGACAAGTTTTATTTATAGATACAAAATGTAACCTAAAAAAATACAAATCAAATAATTAATACAAATATTAAAATAGGAAGAATAGTAATAAATAAATTTTATGAGTAATTATAATAAATTAATCGTATACCATTAATTCATAATAGAATATTTATTATTATATTAAGAAATTATATTGATAAGTTAGATGTAACATTTTTTACTTAAAAGTATTAAGATGTGGCTATTTCATTTGACTTTACTCATTTAAGTTTTTTAAGTGTTACTCTCTAAGTGTAGCAAAGAAGTTTTTATTAGTTAGGATGCTTAACATTATTTAAGCTTAATATTTAACAAAATTTATTATTCATGAAGGCTTACGAATTCTTTTATCAAGCCATATTAATGGCACATTACTTCTTTATCAAACTAAATTAATATGACGCAACACCTTAAGCCCCATGTGTACACAATGTGAATTTATTTTATAAAAGTGTTGAGTTACTAAAAATATAGAACTATATAATATGTTAATAACTTTTTAACAACAGTCACGTATTATTATTTTATTATTAGTTTGTTTAAATTTATTTTTAAAAAATATTTAAAACCAACTAATCATAAATTATCATATATACGTTATCAAAATGTTGTAAAAAAAATTGCTAAAAAAATACTTTTTAAAAATATATTAATAATATCCATTAATGATGCGTGCTGCAACATTGATGCCTTCGATATAGGTGGTTTATCAAGTGTCATGCATGTTATATGAACGTGCATAGACAACATCAAAGCAAATTAAAAAGGTTTTAGATGATTGATTTGTAATTGACACGTGTGAAGCTTTTCTCCAAGAGCCGTTGGACTAAATTATTGTTCTTGTCAACATGGATTCTAATCCACGAACAAACTCGGTTCACTACGGATTTAAGCTAGATTAGATTAAAAGAAAATATAATTTTTTTA